CCTTTTCTATATCACAATCATCTGGCTCTTTTGAACTTCTGAACCTTTTTCCTAATATCTTCTGATGATTGTCCTAGAAACAGATTGGCTACCTGTTACTTCCTTCCTTCTGAGGAGGGATCTAACGTAGTAAACTTTCACATCAGTTCCCTCAACCTGTCCAAAAACTCAGTTGGTGTTTCGGTTTGCCCTTGTTTTAAAACAAACAAGGATGACCAATTTACTGGTTTTGGAATTGCCTTTTCCAGTACAAATTTTATCCAGTTTTGATATGCTGCTATTCAAAGCGGCATAATCCTTGGGCAGATTGTAATCCCAGTCTGGTGTTGCAGTAGGGATATGATCTTCCACAATACCTGCTAATGCTCCTGCAGTAATGTGACCACGTACATGAGCTCGGGTTGTTTTTAATACCAACTGTTTTTCCGTTTCCGTTAATGCATCCAGCATTACATCTGTGTCTCCTCAGTCAGGATCTTGGCTTTTAACAATCAACTTGAACCTTTTTGCGACTCCTATGGGATCATCCCAATACTCTTTCACAGCTAACTTCCAAGCGACCAAATCTCCCATTGAAAAGTTCACCTTTATTCTTGTCCCACCCTCCAGTCCCATTGCTTGTCTTGAAGGTGCCCGAGTTATTGGCTCTGTTTTGCTATGAATGTGTGCAGCAATTGGAGTAACGTTTTCCAGTCCTTCTGTTCTATCATCAGCAACTGCAATCCCTTCCTTCCTCCTCATCAGTATTGGAGAGATGCAGGGCAGGGGATGCAGCTCTCAGAGGTACCGGTGATGCATAATCCTCCACCCTATCTTCCTGATTACTCCTTTTTCTTAATTTTAAACATCTTTCTCCAATATCACAGGCTGAACATCTCTCCAATTTAGATCCCTGTTTTTCCCTGCCCTTTTCCAAACCTAAAATTAAGGGATCCAGCGGAGCCACATTAATCCCGCATTCCTTCTGCCACTCCAAGTGGTTTCTTAATGTGAAAAACATATCTGCATATACTACTTCATCCCATGCCTCTGGGTCCCAGTTGGGATCAGATATGAGGGCACAGACTCGTGGCCCCGCTGCCTTTGTGCCTTTTTTACTGCTCAGTTTGTTTGTTTGTTTTTTTCCCCTACATCTCTCACCCTGCTCTGCAGTGGCTACAAATGCGTGCCCTGCAACAGCACTTCTACTTTAACCCTTTCTAGCTCAGAATGCAAATCTGTTGTTACCTGTTGCTCTAACTCTGTTATCTACCATGCCTTTGTAGGCAAATAGCAAACAGCATGGCTCAGTCACTCCTTCGAGTGGGTATGGGGGTTTGTACAAACTCACCCCAGTACTTTAACACTTCCATGGGGTCTTTAGCTCCCCACGATTCAGGTCCTATATTAGTGCAAGTTTCTATTTTGTCTCACAACATGCTCCACAGGAGGAGCCAGAGCCCGAGGCACTTTCTTATGAAATATAGCAATCGTATAGTACAGAAAAACTTCAACGTGAGCCCGACAACAAAAATGCACAGAACAGCATCTCTTGGTGCAGCTACATACCCCACTGACCAAGCCCTGCCCTCAACACATGCATACAAGGGATCCCACAAGCACACTCCACACAACTACAGTACTTAGAACACAAATAAAATCCAGCTAGACAAACAACTATTAATGATGCAATAACAACATACAGTATAGCATTAACCACATCATATCATCAATACCAAAATCGTTACTGTGATAATCTGCAAAACTGGGTCAAATACCATCAAGTCACAAACAGTGTTCCAAACAAATCGAAATGTATACCATTGGACACCAGCAGTCGGGTATACGCCTTGCCTACAAGATTTCTAGATTTCAATTTACAGAAGGCTCCAAACTAAAGCTTAAACCATCAAAATCCAAGCTCCAAACAAACTCCATGCAGGACGTCTCCTATGACTTACAGAAAGTTAACCAAAACAAAATCATTCTTACAAAAGAATACCTTCTTAAAGATGGTCCTTGTCTGCTCCCACAGGGATCCGAATGAGTCAAGGGGTCCCTCCGGGAAACATTCCCAAGGGCCCTAGGGAGCCCCATCCTCAGCGGGTCCTGCAGCTGGGCAGAGAGGGTCCCATTTAGGTCACCAAACTGATTCAGAGAACTTGCGAAGAACTCACCAAAAAGTTTTAAATGGCAAGCAGGTATTCTTTATTGCAGCCCTGGGAGGCACGGGGGATAGCTCCTCCAAACGTGTCTCATCCCAGCATTAATCAGGCTGTGATGATATTGTTGCTTAATATACATATTTATTATATTTCCAGTAAATTACATTCATGTCTATACATTTCCCAGAACTATTTTACATGGGTTTACACCTATTTTTGCATGCGCACAACAACGTGGTAGTGGTCTCTGGGACTCCTGGTGGTCGTTTCTTCATCATCTTCATCACTTCATTCTTTGGCTGAACTTCAGGTTTGGAAAGCCCCGTTGTCAAGCACGCCACCACTAGTCCAATTCTAACTGGTCATTGTAAAACATTTACCCAAAATGTTTCCTTCTTGCTATTATTACTCGCCATCGAGGTCAATGTTGCTTACCTACAAAGCAGAACTAAAATTACTTCTGTACAAAAGAGTATATTTCATTTTGTACTTCATGGCTCAACAGTTCACTTCAAAGGCTGTAGTATTTGCTTTGTCCTTTGGCCTTTACCAGATGAGAGAAAAGGCTGTCTGCACCCTAGATGTGTTGGTTGTTGTCGTGGTTTAAGCCCAGACAGTAACTCAGAACCACACAGCTGCTCACTCCCCACTACTTCCTCCTGCTCCTGGAGGAATGGGGAGGAGAATGGAAAGAATGTAACTCCCATGGGTTGAGATTAGAACAGCCCAGTAGCTAAGGCATCACACAAAACCACTGCTGCTACCACCAGTAATGATAAGGGAAATAACAAGGGGAGAGAATACAATCACTCACCACCTGCTGACTGAAACCCAGCCCAACCCAAGCAGCGATCTGGGCCTCCCAGGTAACTCCCCCCAGTTTCTATACTGGCATCACATGCTGTAGTGTGGAATACCCCTTTGGTTAGTTTGGATCAGGTGTCCTGTCTCTGCTTCCTCCCAGCTTCTCCTCCTCCCTGGCAGAGCATGAAGCTGAAGAGTCCTTGATCAGGGTAAACATTACTTAGCAACAACTAAAAAACATTGGTGTTATCAGCATTGTTCTCAGTCTAAAGTCAAAAACACAGCACTGCACCAGCTACTAAGAAGGACAAAAAGGGCTGCTGCAGCTGAACCCAGGACAGTTGTCTCTAGCAGTATCTTTCCCCAGGATAAAGAGATTGGTAGAGCAAGCAGTGTTTGCCTCTATTGTTCCTCTCCCTGTTTGTTTTGAACACGCTATCTTTCCTCCCTTAAATCACATTATTTCATAAAGAGTAAAAAGAAGCATAATTTGGAGCAGCAGCAAGCTGAGCCCAAGTTAATAGTTTAAATTGCACTCCATCTGTTCAGCTGCATGGCCTGATGGATGTGCTGAACCCATTTTTCACAATTTGTTTTAAGCTGGTAAGAACCATCTTTCCTGGCTCTGGTCCAGGCTGGCTGTGGAGAAAAACTTCCAATCTGGACTTTCATGTCCAGAGCAGAGGATTGAGTCAGTAATCCCTGATGCCAGGCTACCTCTTCTACCTGCAAGTTGCTAGTTTTTGAAAGGTTCTCTGGGCTTGAACATTGCTGTCAAAAACTGAAGAGGGGGAAAGCTCCACCCCTCCATGTACGCACACACGGAGGATGAAATTTGCAAACATGATTACGCAGGACACACTTTAAATCGACTTATTGCTGTTTTATGATGGCAAACAGGCAGTCACAGAAGCCAGGGTGATTGGCCTTGCCATGTGCGCATGCTGCTGGTAACTCAATAACTGGTGAACACCCACTGTGGTCTCCAGACCTCAAGCCTTTGATGTAGCAACAAACAAGATAGATTGCTGTAATTTATCTGGCCCCTGGAGGGCTGTGCTGGTAATGTGCCATGAGCGCAAGGGCCAGCCATCCATAATCTGTGTAAAAATACAGCAGATCACAGTCGCCGTGCTGCAGGGCTGTCTTTGTTCCGTGCCGCACAAGTTTGCATGTGTACAATGCCTGGTACCGGGTCTCAATTTCCAGCAGCCAGGGGCGGTAAGTGGTAGTGTAATATGCCCACTCCCTCCATTAACCTTAATTGTTTTTGTTTTATAGTAAATATACTCCTTTTGAATAGACTTGAAGCAGCAGTGCTGGAAGTGTGATATTTCCCCGTATGCGTTTACAAATGTAACTGAAAGATTGGGGAAGACATGCTGGGTTTCAGTGAAAAAGATTTTGGACCAGCCAAAGCCTCCAGCGGGTTTGCTGATGGAGGGCGGGTGCCTGTGATATTGCAGTTGTATAGCCTGGAAACCCAAGGGGAGGGTGTGTGGCCTCCTGACTTGTACATGAGCCTCTCTCCTGGTAGAAGACAGTCCTGGCTCAGCTGTGCCAGGGGAAGAAGAAGTCGCTGCTGGACTGGGGGGCCCCAGCAGCAGCTCCCCAGATACCTGTGTGTACTGGGGTGCCGCAGAGTGTCCATGTGCCACCACTAGTGCCCTCCTGCAGCAACCCCATCCTCAGGGTTGTAGGGCTGGAAAATCAAAGTAGTACTGAAAACAAAGCCTTGTCAGCTTGAGTTTGTTGCCATGTGGTGGGATACCTTTTGTTCCTGGATTCTTACTGCTACCAAAGAAGGATTTTATGTCATCTCGATGCTGCTTCTCTTACAGGGTATCTTAAAAGACATTCCCCTCGAGTCAGCAAGGAAATTGCTACATGGCTGGAAGGGTGCTGTGCCAGAGCCCAATGTGCCAGTTTTAAAATGGGGTATGAGGGCTTGTCTTGCTGAGCACAGCTGCCAAAGGGTAGGACAGGTACATCTGGGAGAAGACACGGGGGCTGCCTGTTGGGAAGTAATGCTGAGCTCCTCTCTTCCCACAGGCATGGCCTTGGCCCAGCGGCAAGTGGCGGTGCAGGAAGGGCCCCTTTACCGCACGGAGGGTTCCCACATCACGTTGTGGTGCAAGGTGAGCGGCTACCAGGGCCCGTCGGAGCAGAACTTCCAGTGGTCCATCTACCTGCCCTCAGCCCCTGAGCGGGAGGTGCAGATCGTCAGCACCGTCGACCCATCCTTCCCCTACGCCATCTACACCCAACGCGTGCGCAGCCGTGGGATCTACGTGGAGCGGGTGCAGGGGGACGCTGTCCTGCTGCACATCACCGACCTGCAGGACCGGGATGCTGGCGAGTACGAGTGCCACACACCCAACACTGACGAGAGGTACTTTGGGAGTTACAGCGCCAAGATGAACCTTGTGGGTAAGCTGTCCTGATAACAGCATGGCTGGGGCAATGGGGTGTCTCCCAGCCAGCATGCAGCACAAACCTGTGAACCCCTCCATGTGCAATGTAGTCCACATAAGCTGTCAGAAAAAACACCAGTGAGGAAGACAAGGAGAAGAGGGCAGGCAGCATGGGTAGTGTGAATTGCAGGAAATCACCGTATAGAGGCACAGGAGATACCAAGCTTTCTCTAGTAATAAGGCCCTTGTAAAAAAGAGACACCAGGTAGCATAGCTGGGGAGAGGAACATTTGAAGCTCTGGCTGAAAGCAAGAGGGATGTGGAACTGATGTATTGTAGAGGAGAAAGGTAGGGAGGCTTCTCCAGATGGCATAAGCTGCAGAGGAGAGAGCTGTGTGACAAAAGTGACGAAATAGTGGAGTGGGGAAGAGAGAAGATGTAATGAGCGGCATATAAGGGGAGCAGGGCAGATCATAGAATCAGCTAGGTTGGAAAAGACCTTAAGGTCATGAAGTCCAACTGTTACCCCAGGAGTGCCAAGTGTACCACTAAACCATGTCATCGGGGGCCTCATCTACATGGTTTTTGAACACTTCATCTTCAGGCTCTTAGCAGAGGGTAATGCTGAATGCATCCTGAAAACACCACACTACTCGAATTGTCTGTAGATGAATGTGGGGGAGTTGATTTGGGGTTTGTTTGGTTGGTTTTGTCTGTGTTAGAAAAATTGAAAACAGGTTCTTTAAAATGTGGAGTATTTCCATAGCACCTCTCATACTAGCTGACTTGACTGTTTCAAGCTTCAGCTTGCTTTCTGTATCTCAAAATGGGATTGGATTTGAAGTCTCTAACTCAGCTAACAGAAGTCTAATAACTTCAATCAGACTCTTTGCTGAAGGACTCCTAAAAGAACTCCTCTGCAGCAGAGGCACCCCTCTAGCAAATTTAAGCCCACAGACAGCAGGCTTGCTTTCCTGCGAGCCTGCAGGTCTCTGGTTTGGAAACCACTTTGATATTATCCAGACTAGCTAGTCAGCGTGTTGGCTGTTCAGGCCATGTTGACACAGGAAACCCATTGTGAAAGGAGTAAAGGTGTGAGTTTAAATAACAGTAGCCCTCCTTTGTTTTGTGCTTCTTGCCCTCAGCTTGTGTGCACCTTGCCTTCTTCCCTTCAGAGGTACCAGCCCAGCCACTCTCCCAGGTGAAGCCCCATGCTTGAGTGCAGGTTCTTACTTAGGTGCCATCTGATGTCCATGAGAAGTCAGGGAGGCAGACACTTGAATACTCTTTTCTATGTGGTTTGTTTTGTTTGTTTGTTTGTTTTGTAGTTCTTTGATGTGCTTCAGGTGCCCAGGCTTGTGGTTGCCCCTTTCATTTGAACAGGACTGAGTCAGCACTGCTGCTCTAAAGTCACCTTAGGGAGTGAAGCCCGTTGAAAATCAACACCCAGTGGGAAAGTGCCTGGGGGCAGGGTGGTTTGGGTCTGGGTTGCTCTGCCAGGGAGCTGCACCCTGTGGGCTCTTGCAGGAAAGCTGTTAAAACAAGTGAGAGTACCTCTGTTAGCTGCTGGTGGTGCACAGCATGGGACAGGGATTCCTGGTAAGTACAGCCAGTGTGAGTGATGGCTGTAGGGTACAGGGGAGCTGCTCCACCAAGAACTGGGGAGCCAGGACCCTCCTGGCTGATTTGATGGCCAGCCCAGGGCTTGCTGGCTTGGTATGCTTTTTCTCTGTCTCTTGCCACAAGTACAAGGCATGTAAGATTTGGGATTCCGTAGACACCATGAATGGTTTTTTGAGGGTATTGGCTTCAGGCCTTAATGTGCGTCGGGGATGTTAAAGAAAACAGATCAAAAGTAACTTTTAGTGGATTAGTTAAATCACATTATGCCCCTTCATGGGTGCTTGCACTTAGAATTCGGGGCCCTAATTTGCTTTAGCTTAATTCATTTCTGGAAATTCACTTCAGAAATGACTTAAGGTTACTTGTGTTTTGAATGTGTGTATCTGTGTAGGTGTTTTCTGTGGTTTAACCAAACTCTTCACAGAAACTGACTTTTCCAGAGTGCCCCTTGTTATGAGCTACAGGACAAGCCCATTCATGTGAGCCGGTGTTGACTTGAACACTGTGGGACCTTTAAGTCCTGCTGGGGAAGTGGGCTGTTCTGCAGGGCTGGGACAAACATGCAACCTTTTTATCCCCTGACATTTCAGCTCTCAGCTACAGGTCACGGGTTTTCAGGCTGGCTTTGTTGCTGTAGACAAGAAGAGGTACACAAGAGCTAGATGAGAGTTACTGTTCTCATTTTCTCAGAAACAGAACAAAACTTTTTTTTTTTTCTTTCATCCAGTTATGAATTTTTAATTGACTCATTAGATTGGGTGACTCTTTTGGCAACAGCAGAGCCTGCAGGGAGGCAGGTTTGTAAGCATCTCTAGTCTGTGTTTATGTGTGAAATGGATATGTTTGGAGCAGTGTTGATTCTAGACTTGCTGCTCTGAAAGCAAGATGAAGAGATGAAGGAAGAGTTTCTCCCTTCTTCACTCAGGCAATACAACTATGTGATGGGGTAGCTGAATGGGACACTGGTGCATCAGCACATGGGGCTGCTGTCTGCACTGGGACAGACTGACAGACAAAACAGCCAGTGTGCATCTCTGCTCCTGTTGTCTGAGCAGCATTGAGAGCTATATATCCAGGGTTCTGCAGCTGCTAAAACATAGTCTTGTCATCTTCAAATATGTGCTGGTTGGGCTTGAAAGTACAGTTCTATCTGCCTCACAAACAGCAAGCATGGTTGGTGTCTCCAATTGAGGTTTCTTTTTATTCACTGAGGTCTTGGCCAGGATCTAATACCACTCCAAGGACCTGATGTCTCTGCACTAACAAGTGCTCCTCAGGCACTTCATGGGATTCTTATCTGGATTTAGGCATGCAGTACAAGCGATAAGCTCTCTAAAGATAGGAATGAGGCCAGTAATGTGGTTCAGTGGCCTTCTGCCATGGGAGGAAATGTGTATCAAGGCTTAAACTTTTTCACCAGTCTTCAATTTCCCTCAGTTGCTTCAAAAATAAGTCTATCTTGCTACCCTTCTTCTCATCTCCTCCTGAGCTGTATCATTGGGAAGGAGGAGTTATACTTGGGCTGCAAGATGTGTTAGGAGGAAGAATTTAGGACAACTCAGATGGAATAGCTTGTGCTGAGGGAGGTGGCAAAAGGGAAGGAAATAATGGGCGCAGCCTTTCAGGATGTTGTTGAACTGTGATTGATTATGAGAAAGGATTATCCCACATACGAAGTCTGCTGTCTGTGAGAAGTACATGGGCTGCTCCTATAATTTATGAAGAAGCTAAGGACAGGAAGGAATTTTCAGGTGAAAGAAGGCAGCATCCCAGTAACACAGCATCACCACTGGCAGGGCAGCCGTATTTTCCAGATTGTCACTGGAATTATTCCCTGTATTAATAACACTTGAAATATGAGCAAAGAGGAGATTTCTGTGCAATTTAGGTAGTGAAGCTGCAGGGATGCTGTGCAGTCCAAGATGCTGGTTTGTGCTTCTCATCTTACGTTAATGGATAAATAAACTCATATTGTGCTGTGGGGTAGAAGAGAGCTCATAGCAGTTACTTCAGAGTTCATGAGTCACTGCAAATTTGTACTCCACTATATCTCTGCAACAAGTTTTTTGTGCGCCTGTACCCTTACAGCCTGTACCTGATAACAGCGAAGAGGCCCAAGTACAACCCCTTCAGAAGCTTCAGACTTTTCTGTCAGTGTTATTTCATCTGTGCTTCCACAAATGTTAAGCTCTTTTTCAGAGTATGTGTTTTTCTTGAACAAGAGTTTTCTTGAACAGGCAGTGGCAGAGCAGGAGGAAGGGTTTCAAAGCACTTGAAGAGGTGGCAGCTCTTGTACTTTTTATTTTGTGGGAAGCAGCTGTACAGCATTGATCCTAAACAAGTTAAAGAAAATGAAAGGTTTTTGGATGGGGCGAGCAGGGGGAGAGACCACAACCTCCATGGTACCACAGAGTGAGAAGGAGCAATTTCGGTGCAGAGTTGAGAAACAAGCAGCACTTGGACTCTGCTGTTTTGGAGAAGGGTGGGAGCTGCTGTGGAGCTGATAGTGACTGCAGGGACAGTCACTGACATCTCCTTTCTGCCAGGCTTAGGTGAAAGGGGGGCAGAGAGGATCCTCACTAGCTAGGTACTATTCAGTGGCTCCTCTGTTCACCCTCTCAGCCTGGCCACACTTCTGCTCTCTGCTAGGTCTCACCCTGCCCAGGTAGACTGGTGCCTTGATCTCTGTCCTGTTCTCCTACATCCTCTCTGGCTGTGATGGCTCCCAGGGTCTGGGTGTGTGTTCTTTTGGCAGCCCCATTGTGGTGAAGTTTTGACACTGTGCCAGACTTGGGAGTTGTGGTGCGTGTGGACGCTGGTGGTATGAAGAGCCGGCTGCCTCTCTGCCTCATGTCAAGAGTTGGCTGCAGCTCTGCTTGAAGGGGTCCTGTCTCCAAATGCTGAGCTACCTGAGTCTGCAGACCAGAACTCAGTCCATAGGTAGTCTGACCATGTCTTTAAAATTTTGTCTTGTAGGAGTCCGCTGTGGCATGTGACTGTGTGGCCAGCTGCAATCCCATGACAAGAAGGATAGCTGTAGGGTGCATCTGAGAGGCTTTAGTAACACAAGAGGTGGAAGAAAGACTTAAGCGTGATGCTGAAAGGGAGGGAGTTGCATAGGTCTCAGACAAGCATTGAAGAAAACAAAGCAGGACTCTTGTTGACTTTGCAACCGAGAATCTCCAGAATGCCAGTGGAAAGGTAACGGGCATGTAGCAGGCAAAAAAAGAAAAAAACAAATTTATTAGCTTGTACTAGCTGTTACTGCTTGTTAGCAGCAGCTTCCCCTCTTCTTCGTCAAGTGCTGCCATACATGATCTGCGCATGCACAGAGCAGAGGGGGGAAGTCATGTCACAGATTTGCCATGGGAGATCACTGCCTGCTCCTGGTAA